ATTCATTTTTAAATGAAAAAGGAATTGCATTAAAAAAGTGTTTACAGTGTCGAACCAATATCAGACTTTCTCGCTCAAAAAATGAAACACCTGATATGATTATCAGTTACTTGGACATTACCGAAATGGTATATAATTCTTTGACTTCTTTAAATAACACTGACGAATTTTATGAAAAAGAAAATGAGGAATTAGAGTTGGAATTTAATGTTGAGTTGTCGTCTCTTCTTGATGCAATTTCAGATGAGGAATTGCAAAAAGAAAATATTGACTTTGAAATTGGCCGCCGTATAATTGCTTATATTTCTGAAGGAGATGGTTATTCGTGGGTGTATCGTACTAAAAACCAAAAAAAAAAGTCTTTTCTTGTAATCTATTACTGCAATTGCTGGATTGAACTTGGAAAACGACAAGCAAAACATCCTGAATTAGATAAGCAAAGGGATACACCTATTTATTTAGAATGATACAATTGTGAAGGGATAGTAAATATAGAGATTTTTTCAAGTTTGGATTTAATTAAAATTGTTTATTCTCACAAAACATTACATCCACGACCAAGACATGTTGCAACAACACTTGAAATTAAAACTTTTATTAAGGATAACGTTGAATTTTCTGTACCTGAAATCTGGCGCCAAATTCAAAAAAATTTTATTAAGGGATATGAAAATTTAACAATACAACAAACTTATTACTGGTGGTCGATCGAATCTCGCAAAAGATATTGCCGAGATTCTGATCCTTTATTATCAGCTAAGCGTTTGTTAGAAGAATTCAACCAAGAAATTATTGTAGATAATCTTAATTCTTCTACACCAGCGCTTGGGTTCTTAACATTATTATTTAATAGGTTGATTTATAATAAATTCAACGCAATTGCAATTGATGCGACATATGGTACGAATAGTTTGGCCTGTGAACTATATTCTGTTATTGGTATAATTGACGGTACTGGGTTTCCTCTTAGTTACCTTCTTATTACAGCTGGGAGAAATCGAAATATAACTGAAATTCTTTTC